GACATAGATTTCAAAAGTTGGGTCACTTGAGGTGAAATGCCCCATATGTATATACAGTTCTTAAAAATTGCTTCAGAAAATACCTGACGTTTTTGACAAAAACTCTAAATCATCATGTCACACACAGGCCAGATTTTTAACATTTTATCGTTATACATAATTGCAAGACTATTCTCAACTACGAGAAAGCTTCTCTTTTCCACTATCTCACTTTTTTCTCTTACAGTAAAGTATTGCTAACATAAATCTCCACAAATAATTTCCGTATCCTTCCTCAAATACCTCTAGAGATATTCTGTACGATAGTTCCACTTGTGTGATCTATAAATCCCAGCAGAAATATGTATTATATAAGTTTCAGTATGTAAAGGAGAACCACGCCCCCTTTTCCAATAACTGCCACTTTTCTACTTAGTATAGGATTGATTTCATATACTATCTCCATACCAAGTTCTAGTATTCTACTGCAAATTCCTCTTCATATGCAGTCTGAAAAATTCAGTTTGTATGGGAGGTGCCACGCCCCCATGACATATTCATATTATTTTTAGTCTATAACCATGCTCGGAATGTCGGAAATAAGTGTCCAAAACTTCGAAAAATCGGTACGGCTGTTCTCAAGCTTTCGAACAGGAAAAACCGGCTTTCAAAAAAATTTTATATATTCGTATAGATGTGCCCGTTGTACTAAAAAAACGACAGCTAAAGAAATAGCTGTATAAATCCATCAAATAACAAACCCGTAGGGCCAATTTTACAGTGCGTAGTTAACTCCGAATCGACAGTTAACTAGAGATTTTCAGTACAAAAATCTGTAGTTAACTCCCGATTCTGAGTTAACTACGCATTGTGAAATTGGCCCTTATACTCACTGTTAATAATTTGTTTAATTTACTCTTTTTCCACTTTATAATAGCAGATATTTTAGGGCAAAGTGCAATAATTCAAAAAAAAATCACAGCTTTTCATGTGGACCACTTCTAATGTGAAAAGTCGATTTGTAAGTGTCCAAATCCGGTATCCCCAGTTATACCTATTTATCTTCTATTCTATCTGAAGTAATATTAATACTAGTAGGTGCAAACTTATTAAAGCAATTTCGTTTTAATAATAATAATAAACTTTTAGACGTGGGTTGAAATGGTGACGTTTTTATAGTACAGAGAGCGCAAATGGGTTAATAACGTGTTATATAACGCAAAGAATGGCATATGGATATGGCTAATATGCAAATGTGTAGGTTTTTACTGACAATTTTGTAAGTGCATTGGATAATGCGTTAGGTCGTTCTTGCTGGGAATTTAGACATGTATGCACATATACATATACATACATATGCATAATTATTAGTACATGGTTTTTTGTAATGAGCAGAGGTGGGCACGACCACAAACAAACGTGACCCTGCAGTGAAAAGCTGAACCAGTATGCACAAATTCCAGTTCATGAACTATTATTTAAGGATAAAAGTCATACCAGTTCGTTATGAACCATAATTATACCAGTTCCTCGTAGAAAAAAGTAAACTAGTTGGTAGAAATTCTTATTCGAAAACCGGTATTAAATGGGGAAGTCATACAAGTTCGTCATGGTCTAAATTTTACCAGTTTTCTGCAGTGAAATGCCAAACCAGCCAGTATAAATACTAGTTCAATAACTAGTGTGTGTGAAAGCGACGGCCTACCATTTCGGCGATTTCGAACAACTTGTAGCGAATGTCAATAATTCAGTGCTACCGGATCACGTTTAATTATGTTTATTTAATTAAACGAGTATCCAATACAAAGATTATTAAAAACTAAGAACAACTTAAATTACTAGCGTATGTACCAAAGCGCTCAGAAAAACCTATACTCTGCTTCACGCGCTGTTCGTTGGTTTGAAAATCTGTCAATTGCCA